GAGAAAACAGCCGACATTTGGCGACGCCATCACTCAGTTTCCCCACCAAATGACGTCTGAGAAAAGAGCGCAAAAATTCCTTACTGATGACGTGTCACTACTCAGATCTGGGTAGCACTTCTGATTGCATTGTTGAAGAAAATTTTTAGCCAACCAGAAGCACTACCCAGATTTGGGTAGTGACGGGTCATCAGTATAGCATTTCTGCGCTCGTTTCTCAGACTCCATTTCACGTAAAACCAGTGGTGGCGTCGCGAAATGTCGGTTGTTTTCTCAGGTCTTTAGAGCATGCGCAGGAGCAGTAGAGCATGCGCAGGAGCTCGCGGTTTCGACCCTCGGGTCTAAGAGTTTCTTCAAATGACTAAGAACTGACGCTGGTCCGATGCTAAGGCAAACTAGATGAGTCAGGTGTATCTCGCTTAAGACGAATGAATTTGCTCATCTGAGGTAAATTCACGAGAGCAGTTGAGAGCAAGGGTACGGATTTGATAAATGTACACGAATACAACGAATTGGATATCATGAAATCTGAAAATGCCAAGGTTTTCTTGAGATTGGCTTGGTATATGTATAGGAATGGGACTCATCTATAAGTTACCACTTGTTGCTGTATCAAAACAAGAAAAGCAAGTTTTAATTTGTCCAAATGTGGCAAAAACCTGGGGATTAATATGATACTCTAAAAATTTTGTCTTCCATCATTCCAAAAGTTACTGTTGGGAGTGTAATTATAGGAATGATCGCTTCCTTGTTAGAGGGAACATGTCAGTAAGTCGGTTTTGAGATTGCATTTCAAAATAGCATGCGCAAAACGTCTCCTAGACTGCTTACAGATTTTATTATCGTTAAGTGTATGGACTAAATTCTCTCAAAGGTTTTTTCACGAACTTTTTAAACCCTTTCTCCTTCAGAATTTTTTTTATTCATTGGACGGTCACAATTGACACGAGTTCAAGACAATATCAACGAGATTTCTTCACTTTTTGGGTGCAAATCGTATAAATGAAATAGTTAAACAAATACCAGTTTACTGCTCAATCATAAAAACTGGTTAGTTTAAAATCCAAGATGGAGGCCAATATAGCGACTATTCTATCTAGTTCCAGACCGCCCTCCTGAAGAAATATTAGCAAAAAGCCTTGGAAAGGATGCGGTGCAGCTTGAGTGGAATCCAGTTCTCCCGAAATATGCGAATGGAGAGGTTCTTGGGTATAAAATAATTTACGGTGTCGTTAACAACATATTGCGAACTAACAGCATCGTACCTGCACCAGGACATCGTCTAAAGATCGGTGGACTGAAACCCAACACGAACTACAGCTTCCAGATTCTTGCATTTACCTCAAAAGGCAACGGTGCGACCAGTACAAGCTTCTTCGCAAAAACGTCTCCAGGTACACTGGAAATCATTGTTACAAACAAGTAAATAGAAGAAGAGGGAAAGAAAGAATTAAAAAAATAAACTAGAAATAATAAAATAAAGAAATAAATGAAAAAAAATAATAATGAATGAATAAATAAAAATCGCCAATGATTGACTGGTAGCACATGTCTGTCGTAATGTCGACGGGCATGTTATGTCAGTTCCTAATTATCACAGCCAAATTGAAATCTAAGTCGTTGTGTTTTCTTTTTTTCGTAACAATTGAAAACCGAGCAAACCATGAGACCTAATTTACATCCACTGAAAGTTCTGTAAAAAATTAGCTAGATTTCTCCATTACAGGTTTGCTAATAATACCATGAAGCAAGGGCATGAGTGTCCCATGACATGAAGGATCTCAGAGTTTTAACACTGAGAAAACACTCAAAAGTGTTCAACTCCTTGTCATGTCGAAACACGAGTAGTTTCCGCAGCTATTTTGTTTACTCTTCAAAGGTATTTTTGAGACTTTGAGTGTTTTCACACTGATGATTTTTGAAAACTGAAGGACAACTCCTCTAAAGAGCTTTTCAAAAAGTGTTTTGATAATACAATGATTCATCTAATATCAACTTAATCAGACTTGTAACAATCCAACGGCCGGGGAATATTACCTTTAGTTATTTTTTATCTGATGCTTTTCTTTTCAGAACCGAAGCAAAACCGAAGAAACGATCTAGGTAGATGCTTCATTTATATTTTGATCTTTGGTCAAAGTAATCCTTGCAAGCACGTTAATGTTTGTTTTTATTTGTCTTTATATTTGATAGGAAAAGGAGCCATAGTTGCAGCTAGTGTTGTACCTGGTATCGTTGTCTTTAGCACCATTTTCCTCGCAATATACTTTGCAAGAAAGAGGCGATTGATAGCCCTGAACAATGGAAATAGTAAGTTGATCTTACAAAAAGTAAAATAAAATACTTTTAGTCAGTTATAGCTTAAGACATACAGTGGAAAATTCCACATCATATTTAACATAAAAACAGGATGTTATAAGCAAGAGAGTCTCTTGCTGGTAGCCACATGGTACTACAATTTTTAGTAGCTTAGCTCTGGCATGTCCCTTACTGAGGTCAATGGTAGAGCCTCTAGCCTTCAGTAACCAGACAGTCACTGAATGGGTCAGATTTCTGTTACACGAAATTATCTTTTTCGAGTCGCCTGTGTCACTGTTACCTTCAACAGTTAACAGGAATTTAGCTGGAGGTGTCGTACCATACGCTACATCACCACTGGACTGGATTGATAGAATCATTGCTAATAGACACGGATACGAAGCACTCGATGACGAAAATGTTCTCATCATCACACCACGACACCATCGCTACATCAACATTGCTCCTGATGGTTCCCTAAACATTCCACCGTACCTGAGGAACATTGTTATTGAGTTTGAACAAACCTATGAAAACACACGCTACAATAGGCTGAAAAGGTTTGTATATTAAATGTTTGTGGCAAGATGTGATGTTCACAATAATCCGGATAGCTATACGCGGCACCACGAAATCGAAGGAGCGACTCGGATAGGTTTTGTGCCACACATTTGCACACCTATTCGAAATGTCGCGGAAGTAAAAAAACAGGGGTGATAACTGGAACATACTGAGGCGAAAGTAAATATTCAAGGATGAGGACTAGAATTTAGCGCACCAACCCTCTGCGCCGACCGCGCATGCACGATGTTCGATGTGAACGACTTGTGCCGACGCGGGCCGTTGTTGTTTATACTACTAAGGGACGGATCCGGACCATTAGAAAACTTATGGGGGGGGGGGGGGGGGGCGAACCAACACACAAAAACACCCAGAACCGAAAACAAAAAAGAAAAAAGACACCACCCCACCCCGCACACCCAAAAACAATAAAAGGCTAGCAACAAAAACA